CAAGGTGTTAGTTGTACTGAATAGTTCTATGAAAGAATGTACTTTGTCCCAACCCATTAATAACTATCCATTTTTCCTATTGTTTTAGTTGATTTTATTGGGAAGTGACACACAGAAAAGCTTGTAAATTATCATAAAGTTGCCTTTTAACTATCTTGCTGAGTAAAAGGCCTAACTCCTCTACAAATTTCTGTTTACTAATAAAAACACTGTAAGTATGAATTGTTTCTTAATGTGACTTGCCATAACCGATATATGTTTATATCTGATTTGTTAATTTCTAAAGAATATATTACGTTTTTATTTCCTCTTTCACCAAAAAAGCCATATAGCTTAATGACTAATAGCAAAACCAGAAAGTACCCAACAAACACACTACCATAAAAACTAACCCAGTTGGAAATCTTTTCATTGTTAATATTATATCTTACTACACTACACTATGGTCAGAGAATGTAGCCTATGATTGTTTTCTTATAGGAACTGAGATTTTTCACTGGTATACTACAGAATTTATGCCAACTTTGCAAATGTGTTCTCTGCTTGATGGGCAGCAGTACTATATGCACATCTTTCAATTAAAACTTCCTAAATTGTGTTAAATTGCATTTTTATATCCCCCCACCTTAATGTGTCAAATTCTGAGAAAAGCATGTTAAGTCTCCATTTATAATCTTTTTTTCTCCTGTTACGGTGGTTCACATTCTCCTTGTATTTCTAATAGCTACTGGTTTAGATATTTGGCGCAATGATAGTGGTACATAACCAAGTATCACCTGTCTCTCCTAGATGACCATGTCACACTATTTCTACCTCTAATCTCCCCTCCCTCCTCCTCACTCTCAGCTAAAACCTCCCTGAGAGCATTTTCATAAGCTCTTAACATCAACCATATTTGCCTACATACCTATACACCCTGTTTCAAAAACCTGAATGTTAAAGGAAAGAGCACGTTCTTTTTTGAGGCAATGGGAAAGACTAGTAAATTTAATGCCAATGTTAGAAGCCTATAAATAAAAAGGTAGAAGATACAGTCACATCTCAGAATAATCAACACTGAGAATCCTGAAAGACTGAAAGAGATGTGATCAATATCAGCAATGAAGGAACTGGGAAGTCTGGCCTCGGACAGGAGTGGATACAAGAGTGGATGCTCTATAAATCTGGCTCAAGAAGCGGGGCAAGTTCCTCTCTAATGGCTTCTAATTTCTCTGTGGAATGAGAAACTACCAGCTGGGGAGCAGAGAACCATGTAGGAACCCAGAGATCTGAAGCATGAAGAGATCTGGAGTTGTCATTATGGACAGTGAAACAATTATCCCACTAGAAAAACAAGGTAGGACTGGCAAGTCATGTTAAGAGCAGTATCAGGGCTTATGGTTATGAAATCACAGCAGTATCAATCTGTTCAGCTTGTGAACTAACTCCAGAAGCATCAGCATCCCAAATAAAGGCACTAAAGAAGACGAACACCTTAATTCACCCAGCATGAACACTTTGCCAAAGGAGCAAAAAAAGAACAGGATAAGGACAGAAGGATGCTGAAATAAGATCATGACTCTAAACTAAATGTAGAAGAAAGTGAAAGGGGCATTGTTAATATATATAGGGAAAGTAAAACAACCAATAGACTGGGGATCCACATGGAGGCAAAGAACACTTCAGGAAACTTCTGGATTAGACAACAAATATGGGAGGACACTGTCACAGAATTTCTGAAATAGTATTTGAAAAATCAGGTAATTTCAAAAGATAGCAATATTTATGGGACTATATAAACTAGTGGCATAAGTAACATCCAGACACTGGATTGTTCATGAAAAACTAGGACGCAACACAGGGTTATGGCAAATCTTTTTTTTTTTTGCTTAAATTCTTTTATTAGTACATTTTAGGTATACATTTACATTTATCATTGGGTGGTTGTATCTGTACATGATGTATCTTGGTTCTGATTTTTTTCCCCATTACCTGTGCGCCCTTCCCTATTTACATAGATTCCGTTTCCATTTTTTTCTTTTCTCATAATTTTTCCTTTCTCTACTTTCCTTTCCCCTTCCCCTCCCACTTCCCCTACCCCTTTGGACCTTTTCTTCCTAATTCAAATTATCAATTATTTGTTTTAATCGTTTTAATCCTTATTTACACTTTCAGTTTCTCACACTAGAGAAACTATTCGGTATTTACACGTGTCCTATTTATTTCACTTAAGAGTATGGCCTCAATATGCATCCATTTAGCTGGTCATAGCAAATCTTGAGGCAGAGAGAAAATGATGTGTTAGAGGCCAGAGGCATCAAGGAGTGAGGAGAGGAACCAGAAAGCAGGCTGCTAAAAATTGATGAGTGCAGGTGAAGGGGATACCGCTCCTCTACCGAAGCAAAGGGGTGAAGGTTTAGCAGCTGCAGGGCAAGCAAGGTCACACCGCATATCCCAGGATGATTTGGGGGATGATGCAATCTTCACTGAGTGGGCTCAAATCCCTTACTAAGGGGAAAGCCAAGTTTCAGTAAAAGCCTGGAGAAAAAGAAATTCATCCAATGAATCTATAGGGCAGTTTGTACATCAAAGAGTGGTAGTTACCCTAAGGCAAAAATGAAAAAGCACATGGTATGATGGAAACACAACTGAGACCAGGAAACAAAAGAGAACAGAGGCGTTGACTTTCATTCTAAGACTGCAGGAAGACGGTAGAATCTCAGGTCTTAAATATTCATGGTGGCTCCTGGAGTTATTTTTTGTTCTGTGTCTAGGTTACCAGAGGTTAGTAGCAGTTCTGGCTGCCTGCTACCAAAAGGAAGATGGCTAGGGTGGAGGTCATGGTAAGATGTCAAGAGCAAGCCACATGGTGGTGGCTCTGGATTGTGGGGTCTAGGTGACCTCAGATAATTATGGGGGATTCAATGTTACTGCATTCAGTTTCTAAACACAGTACTGCTAATGAGAAGTCTGATGCTAATGATTCCCTTTCCATGGAGATCATGTAATTCTGACCTATCTGCCAAACTGTTGAAGACTAGGTGTGTGTCTCTTCCTTTTAATAGTCCTGCATGGTACTTTTCAATCTGATGACCCAAGTCTTTCTTCACCCTAGGTGAGCTTTTTCAAAACCATCATTTCTTTGATGGAAATGAAAGAGTCTATATCTGCACTCTATGTTTCCTACAAACTCTTAAGTTCCATCAGTTTCTTTTCGTTCTGTGTGCTAGTGTTCTGACACAGTACTTTAGTTTCTAATTGTGTCAATTCCACCATTCTGTGCTTTTACTAAGTATGTGATTTTTTCGTAATGAAGTTTATGTCAAGAATTCAACAAATACTTGTTGAGCAACTACCATGCATTATGCAGCTCTGTATTTTACCAGTACAGCATTCCTTATAATTAAAACATAAGAAAAAATTAAGACCTCTTTTGGTTGCATTTTTAATTAATAGAGATAATAATTTTATTTATTTGATAGGGTTGTCAGTATGCATAAATAATACAAATAAATACACATAGTATGCATTCCTATGCCTGGCTCACAGTAATTTTCAATAAATGTTCATTAAGGTTCTAACACTAACAATGATGATATTAATAATAATAATATGCTCATAGGCTACATCTTCCTCATTCTGAATTCACACAGCTGGTTTGGTAACCCAGTAATGGGATATCACATTTATCCCTGTTAACTATTATGTTAGATTCAATTCCCCATTCATCCCATCCAAAGATTTAAAAATTGTACTTTCATCAAATGTATTTATGAGCCCTATCAGTTTCATGTCACCCACAGCCTTTACAGGTATGCACCCTACTTCTTCAAGTACAGTTATACTGATAAAAGTGTTGAAGAGCATACATGCCCTCTGGTGTACATCCTGGCAAAACCTCACCAACCTCAGTCATTCACTGGTACCTCTAACGCAACTTCTCAGCACATGGCCTGTGGCTAACATAAGAGATGGCAGGGTGCCATGACAGGTCCTAACAGCCTGCTAACAACGTCTACTGTGTTTCCTTTTCCTAAGAAGCCTACACTAATGTGGTGAATATATTCATGTTTTAAAGACTGTTCTCTTAACAGATTCTAGAATCTTTCCTGGCACATACATTAAGCTCAGAGGTCTGGGGTATTATCTCCACTTTAAAAATTAGAAAGATGCATGGCAGCCTGTTCTTAGCCTTCTGGGATCTCCCTTTCTCTATCATACTTTAAGGAGCAGAAGGTCACTAATTTCAAATGTGACAGTATATTTTTTTAGACGAGACTGTGGCTTCAATAAGTGAAGGAGGGCATGTTTCCAATTTCTTCTCCCATACAAGGCATTTTAGCTTACAAAAACATCTCCCCATAAACCACTGTGTGTAAAGCAATGACTCAAGTGAAGGACTCTTTAGACTTTTATTTCATTCTGATCCAATTTTAGTATATGTGCTGCCAAAGCGAGCACTTCATTCTGATCCAAAGGAAAGCAATCAACCAACTCAATGTTTTTTAACTTTTGTTTTTTGTTATCCCTTTTATGCAAATTTAAATCACAAAAAATACTAATTTTTCTTTGGCCAATGAACCATGCACCTTTCCTATTATTCTGCTTGATGCTTTTGTTTTTTGTACAGTGCTAGGGATGGAACCCAGTCCCTCACATATGTTAGCCAAGTGGTCTACCACTAAGTTACATCCCCAGTCCACTCCTGTTTGTTTTTAAAACTAATGTAATACAGTGTTAGCTACACTGGCTTGTGGTGGGGATCAAATGTATATAAAAACTAGATGCTCTTTAATATAAAAATTTATATAAAGTATTGATATGAAACAATAAACATACTTCCCAGCAGAATATGGCCACATTGTCTATTCTAATCTGAAGAACTCATGATTTTTCTATAGTAAGAAAAATAAAATTTTTAAAAAGATTAAAATCTTTTATAGGCTAGGTTGAGACATTAAAAAATCCTAAATAAGATTTAATAAATTCTGAATATTTTTCATTCTAGCATTTCCAATTACCTTGAAGCATGCATCTGTAGGCAGATTCAGATATAGCATAGATGTGTGGAGGCATCTCATGACGTTTCTTCCCTCTGTACATTTCAATGATATTCTCAGAGTAAATTGGAAGGTTCTTGTAAGGATTTATGACTACACAGAAGAGTCCAGAATAAGTCTAGAATAAAACATAAAATACAGTATTAAAAAACAAAAGCCTTGCATTTATCAGTCTGGGTACAATCAGAATACAGCAACAATATGGGAATTTAAGCAGATCTTTATCTTTGAATAATAAATATAGCCCCCAAATTAAATTTAGCCCATAAAGCCAACTTCTGACTATGAACCACAAATACTTCTCTCTCAGAGTTTGTTAAGGGGCACTTTTCTGGACTCAATTTCCTCACCTTTAAAATAGAAATAACGTGTGCTACGTGACTTCAGCAGACTACCGTAAGGTCTGAACCATATGTTATTTGCCCTTTCAGATTCATTTTCTCCTGAGTATAGAAGTTACAGAAAGCTCATTAACATAGTTTCAGATCCCACATTGCAGTTAATCTTTAAAAAACAACACTTGGAAGGAAGCTCTCCGCCTCCATCCCAGGCTCCTAGGGCAGAGAGGCTCAGCCGCTCTCAGCACCCGGAAGCTCCCCGCCTCCATCCCAGGCTCCTAGGGCAGAGAAGCTCAGCCGGTCCCAGCTCCCAGAAGGAAGCTCCCCGCCTCCATCCCAGGCTCCTAGGGCAGAGAAGCTCAGCCGGTCCCAGCACCCGGAAGGAAGCTCCCCTGCTGCCATCCCAGGCTCCTAGGGCACAGAAGGTGAGCTGGTCCCAGCACCCAAAGAAAGCTCCCCTGCTGCCATCCCAAGCTCCTAGGGCAGAGAAGGTGAGCCGTGTGGGCGTCAGAAGCACCCCCTCCCGTGGAAATGAGAAGACACGTAAACAAGTCTCAAAAACAGACTTCTGGATCACCTACAGCAACCCCAAATGGGAAGCGAGATGGAACGGTCTGATCCTCAACCACCTGGACTCTCTGAACTGGCAACAAAAGAGGATCTGGGAAAAATGAAATCAGAAATAATTACTCAGATAACAGCAAAGAT